CGCCTGGTAATGCTGCATAGTTCGTCAAAGCGTCCGCTCAATAAAGACAAAAGACACCGTCTAGGATGCAGATGATAGAGAAGCAACACATAAAAACAACAACATCATCATATATACCAGTCCTCCTCCACGTCGCCTCATCAGTGAGAGATGTACTGGAACACGGCGCTGACCTCGGGCTCGCCGCACTCTTGCCTTAGCAGCAGATCCTGGATCGGCTTGAGACCCTCGTTTGTGAAATGATTCCACGTGCTCGTGTCGCCATACAGCATGGCTGGCGCCTTGATGTACTGCTTGCCGTCGGGCCTGCATCGCTTGCACTTGAACGTGTCGTGCGTGTCGCTGCGCGTGTCGCCCCGGTACTGGAAGAGCTCCTTGAGGCTGTCGAGCGAAAAGTGTCGCTCCACGTCCTCGGCCGAGTCCACCACGCACGACGACAGCGACTGCTTGTGGCTCTGGCGTTGGAAGATCTTCTCCTCGATGCTGCCCGTCGTGATGAACCGGTACACGAAGCAGTCCTTCTTCTGCCCGTCACGCCATACACGCGCCAGTGCCTGCTGGTCCGCTGCCGGGTTCCAGTCGGGGTCGAAGAGCACCAGACGGTTGGCCCCAATCAGGTTGATACCACAGCCGCCCGCCTTGGAGCTGAGGAGAAAGACAAACTCGGTGCCTTCGGGGTCGTTGAACCTGTCCACGAGCTTCTGCCGCTTCGTCACGTTCATGGTGCCGTCCAGCCGGAGATTTCCATATCCGCGACTGCGGCACAACTTCTCAAAGATGTCGAGTGTTGACGTGTAGTTGCTGATCAGCACAATCTTGTCGTTTGTGTCTGCCCGAATCCGTGCCAACATCCTGTCCAGCACCTGCATCTTGCCACTGTACCACGGCTTGATGTCCCGGTCACGGCCGCGCGAATCCTTGGGAACGTAGTCTTCAGGGAACCAATTCTCACAACCCGGCAGGTCCTCAGACAAGTTGAGTAGATCAGGGTGATTGCAAAGCTTCTTCAAGATGTTGATGGCTTTGAGGGGCTGGCTACCCTTGCCGCGGAGAAGGGCCTGGATTTCGGGCGACCTGATGAACAAGTTGTATAGATCCAGTTGGAATGGCGCCAGATTACAGAAGACGACATGCTCGTACTTGACAGGGAGATACTTGGACAGGATGTCGTTTGTGCGCCGGATGATAAACTTGTTGACAATCCCGAGGAGCTCCTTGAGACGCTCATCACCCTTGGCGCGTTCACTTTCGGTGGCATCGGCGTCTCGCCCTCGGAGGATGGCAATCTCAAATCTCTTCCTGAACTCGAGCCTTGTGCCAAGCAGGGCTGGGTTGGCAAAGCTGATAAGTGAGAAGTACTCGGAGAGGTCGTTCTGAATCGGGGTTCCCGAAAGAATGACACGACGTGTGACGTTCAGGTTGTTGAGTGCAGTAAAAGTCTGGCTGTCGCCGTTCTTCAGACGATGGCCCTCGTCGCAGAGCATGAGACCGATCTGGGTGTGCTTCAGCTCCTCGACATTGAGGCGGAGCGTCTCATACGAGACAATAATGACGGGCCTTGTGACAGCACGGCCGCTGCTGATAGCCCACTGCCGTAGCTGCCGTGTCAGCTCTTCCTTGCTCGCCTTGCCGTCAATGGCAAACGGTGTGATAGCGTCGGCGCCGAGCCACTTGACAAGCTCGTTCGCCCAGTTTCGGACCAGACTCGACGGGCAGGCAACAATAGCCTTTTGAATCGTCGACTTTCCGGCCTCGGGAGACTGCTTTAACAAAGTCCATAGCAGCGTGATGCACTGCAGTGTTTTGCCGAGACCCATCTCGTCTGCCATGATGCAACCGTTGGCCTTCTCATCAATCATGCCCGTGACGCATCGGTACATGAACTTGACACCCTCGATCTGATGTGGGCGGAGCACTTTAGTGAGTCTTGGGTCGATGACGACGGGCACGCGTGGATGCTCGCCCTCGACCTTCTTCCTGATGCCAAGAATCTCGGCTAGGCTCTTGTGAACTAGCGGCGCATCCATCTCTCCGGCAGTATCGGCCTCGGCCGGTGTTTCGGCCGGCTTCTCGCGCACCTTTGGTTTATCGTCAATCGTGGGGTCGTATAGAACCAGGGCAAACTCGCCGCTGGGGTCGTGCAGCGGCTTTGCGACAAAGGCGGCGCCTTGCCTCAGGCCTAAGGTGGGAGGGGGGCGGTTGGGGTTGTAGGCGCCGCTGTTTTTGTTGACCATGGGGATGATGAAGGCCTTGCGGAAGACGGTGCTCTTATCCTTGGCCTGGAAGACGGGAAATTTGTTGGCGTCGCGGTTCGCCAGAGCGAGCCGATCGGCGTTGGTGTAGGGCTTGTCAGCATCCTCGCTGCCGTCAGCGCCCTTGTAGTCAACCTTGCGGCGCTTCCGGGCAGGGCGGTCGGCCTCTGGTCGCCGCGTGGCCGAGCCAGGACATTTGAACGGCTTGTGGAGCTTGTCGAGGGACTGAGGCGTGGGGTAGCGGCGGCCAGGCGCGTTCGCGTTCTCCTTGTTGGCACCAGGCGTTGACAGCAGCGAGCTCCTAAGGTACTAGAATTAGTCCATCTGACGTGACATCAAGAGGCCGACTTTGGAATGCGGACATACATGTTGGCGATGAGTCGCTAGCTAGACTAACTACGTATCTCCGAGGTACGCGATTAGTGGGCCCCGATGACAATAGTGGGTGTCGGGAATCCCGCCTTTGGGTTGTTCGTCTGGCTTTCGCTGGCTCCTCGTATTGCGACTGAAGGTGACAGTTGGGCAAGACGACAGCGAGGGCAGTCGAACGACAATAGGCTGTGAGAAAAAAAAGTTCGACTGGGCTGGCAGCAGAGAGCGTCTGCCTGGAGGCGAAATCAATCAAAGCGAGGGGCGGAAGTCGGAACAGTGAGCGTGTCTGAGCGCGTCGGTCCACAGAGAAAGCGCGCGCGAGGTCAGCTGACTCGGCCCAACACATGGTCGCCCCTTCCCCTCCCTGCACTTGCCGGGACGCTACTCCCTTTTGGGCAACCGTGTAAACAAAGCGCAAGTTCTCGACTCCACCGACACGCCAAAACCGCGACTTTTGATCGCGCCCACTCTGGAGCTCTCCTCCCTGGTCCCTCCCCCCTGCGCCAGCCCACCTCCCAGCCATTTACTTGTCGCAACTGCGCGCCGCCATTGACGCGCTCGCTATTTCTTTTTGGACAAGACTACTTCCAGCACGACTGCAGAATACTACTGCAGCGGAATCTATTGCTTGCTTCACAACTTACGAGCATCTTTTCCCTCGTCACCCGGCATATCTTTTGCTGCTCATGTGCCGCTACGACCATATACAGCACGCGCCTTTGCTCTAACCTGCCCGCGCTGTGAGCTGCCCGCCATGGCGGGACTCGGCGCCCTCGACACCCCGAGGACCAACCTGGGCGATGCGACCTACCTCAACGGCCAGCACGATCTCGACCTGTCAGAGGAGGTGTCGTTCCAGTCGCCCTCCAAAGACGCCAATGTTCTGCAGCAACTCCGGAATGGCGGCAAGGCCAGTAGCTTGCGCACCCCGCGCGGCAACAAACGCGCCCCCTTCTCGGAACGCCACAACCTCCCCGCGGGAATAGCTGGCCCCGAGTTCACACCACTCCTCAAGTCGGCCACGAGGAGAAGCGCCGCGCGTAGGCGAGGCAAGGAGAATGTCGCCTCAACCCCCACCGGGCTGCTCGCCCGCATCGACGAGGACCTGTCCCCCATACCAACAGTGGACAATAGCGTGTTTGGCGCGTCGCGCGGCACGCCATCCTTCGTCGGTCGCACCCCCGTGCCCCAGGTGGACAGCGACAGCACCGTCACAACACCCATGGTCATGAAGCGTCGCAACATGGGCAAGAGCCCTCTACACGACAAGAACCAGCTGTCACTGCGTGAACAGGAGGGCGTCATAGACCGTATCGAAAAGGAGAACTTTGGCCTCAAGCTCAAGATCCACTTCCTCGAGGAGGCTTTGCGCAAGGCCGGCCCCGGCTTCAGCGAGGCTGCCCTCAAGGAGAACACAGAGCTCAAGGTTGACAAGGTCACAATGCAGCGTGACCTCCAGCGCTACAAGAAGCATCTGACATCGGCCGAGAAGGACTTGGAAAACTACAGGCAGCAGATACTCGAGATGCAGGACAAGTTCAGGAAACGACACGCCACCGAGGACCAGCGCGTCGAGCTCGAGCGACTAAAACTTGCACTAGAAGCCAAGGAGGCTGACGTGGCGGATCTACAGCAGCGACTGGATCAGAGCCAAAGGGAAAACGACAAGGCCGAAAAGCTACAGGACGAAATCGGAGACCTCGAGGCCGATGTGCGCGAAAAGGACCGCATCATATCCCAGCACGAAGACGAGCTCGAGGACCTGAACCTGCGTGTCCAGACGGCCGAGGACAAGGCCAAGGACTCCCAGCGACGCATAGTGGAGCTTGAGGAGAAGGCCCGGGCAAGCAGCAAGCTTCAAGAGGCCAACGACGCCATCGAGGACCTGGAGGCTGATGTCAGGAAGCTCGAAAACCAGGTGGAGGAACTCAAGGACAAGCTCCAGGATGCCGTCGACGCCAAGGACCGTGCCGAAGGAGACCTCGAAGAGCTTCAGGAGGAGATGGCCAACAAGTCGGTCGTCACCAAGGGCCTCTCGAGGCAAGTGGAGGAGAAGTTGGCTCGTCTCCAAGACGAGGTGGAGGACGCCCACACCAAGTACGCGGCGCTGGAGAAACGATTCGACGCCAAGGGCCACGAGGTTGACGACATGAAGCTCAAGTTGAAGGAGTCACGTCAAGAGCGTGAAGCCATCGACCGCGAACGTCGGTCGCTGGCGGCCGAGGCCCAGGAGCTCCAGGCTGATCTCAGGGCGACCAGTGATCAGAAGAGCCTTTTGCAGACGAGGCACGATGCCCTCACAAACGAGTCGGCGTCCCTTCAGCGGGATGTTGCCAGACTGCAGCGGGAGGTCTCGACACTCGAGGCTGCCGTGGAGCAGGAGAGGCAGCACGCCCTGCAGATCGAGCGCAGCGTCCAGAACCAGTCCAAGGGCGAAGCTTCCCGCTTCAAGGGTGAAGTTGCGGAGCTGCGTGCCAGGCTCGAGGAGGCGGAGGAGGAGCGGCAGCGCACAATACAGAGCGAGCGCAACAGCCGAGACCAGCTCAAGGACGAAATTGAGCGCCTCAAGGACGAGATTTCGGATCTCCAGGCTGAGATGCGCGAGAAGGACAACATGTACGACAACGACAGCGAGAAGTGGGAGACAGAAATGCACAACCTCGAGGCCGAGCGCGACCAGGCAAGAGAGCGGGCCGAGGGCCTGCAGCGCACCATCGAGAAGCTGCGCGATGTTGAGGGAGCGCTGTCGAGCAAGGAGTTCAAGCTTCAGCAGGCCATGGACAGCGAGGCCCAGCGCCACACGAAGGAGGCAGCCGTGCTCGAGCGGCAGATCGATGATCTGCAACAGGATCTCGAGGCCAGGCAGGGAATGCTGGAGGACCTGCGCAGGGAGCTGTCGACAGTCCGCGACGAGCTGCGCCAGGCCCGCCTCGACCACCAGACCGAGGTTGACAAGGTCGAGGGTCTCGAGGACGAAATCGAGGTGCTGCAGACGACACTGGACGAGGAGTCGGAGAGGGCGGCTGAGGAGGTGGAGCAGGCCAGGAGAGAGTGCGACGACCTCAAGCAGCAACTCAAGACACTGCAGGCCGCCGTGGCCGACTCGACCCGCAAGCAGACGTCGGTCTCGCATGAGGTGGCCAAGCACAACGCCGAGCACCTGGAGAGACTCAAGGCACAGCTGGCAGAGTCGACGGCCAAGTTCACCAGGGCGACCAAGGAGAAGCAGGCTCTGCAGGACCAGCTGGCCAGCCTTGACATCGACATGTACTCTCTGCGTGCCTCCCTCGCCGAGGCCAAGGCCGAGAGAGACGAGCTGGAGGGAGAGGTGCGGCTGGCAAAGCTGCAGGGTGCCGACACGGCCAAGATGGACCAGGAGCGCATTGAGCTCCGCACCACCAAGACCAAGCTTGACAACGAGGTGCGCCGCCTCAGGGAGGAGAACAAGTCCCTGGCGGTCCGTTTCACCGAGGTTGAGGCGCAGCTGGAGCAAGCCAACCAGAACGATAACGACGACACCTTCCGGCTTGACCAGGAGCGCATCACCCTCCGCACCGCCAAGACAAAGCTGGACGGTGAAGTGCGCCGCCTCAAGGAGGAAAACAAGACGCTTGCGGCGCGCCTCCGCGAGGTCGAGGCCGAACTGAGCATGGCGAGGCAACAGGGCGAGCAGACGGTGCAGCTTGAGCAACAGAGAGGGGACATCGTTGCGGCCAAGGCGAAGCTCGAAAGCGAGCTACGACGTCTCAAGGAGGACAACATGGTCCTGGCGGCCGAGCGGGCCGAAATCGAGGAAGAGCTTTTGCTCCTTTCCAAGCAGAGGGGCGATCACACGTTCGAACTCGACCAGGAACGCATAAACCTGCGTGTGGCCAAGACGAAGCTCGACAACGAGGTGCGCCGGCTGAAGGAGGAGAATAGGCAACTGGCCGAGCACCGGCTCGAGGTCGAGCGGCGATTCGACGAGGAGATGGACAAGGCGGTGACCGAGGAGGAGCGGCTGACGCACGAGATGCTGCAGCTCCAGGCCAAGCTCCGCCAGTCGGGCGATAACCAGGCGCTCACGGCAGCGCGACGCAAGATCCGCGAGCTGGAGCGCCGCGTCGACGACTACGAGGCGCAACTGGCCATCCTCGGCGACGGCCACAACATCGAGGGCAACAGCGACTTGTCGATACTACGAAAGGACCTCACCAGCGCCCGCCAGAAGGAGCGTGACTTTGCCGAGCGTGAGGCAGCGCACAAGAGCACAGTGCGCGACCTCAAGCGCCAGATCTCAGACCTTGAACGCATGATGCACGACGCCGAGATGTCCCGCCTTCTGATGTCGCCAGCGACAGTCGAGGCCAGCACCCCGGCGGCAGGACGCAGCAAGATGGAGGCTACCCAGCTGCGCAACCAGCTGGGGCTTGCCCACCAAGTCGGTCAGGACCTCAAGAAGGCCCTACGCGAGGCTGAGCGCAAGTCATCGACGGTCCGCGAGGAGCTGCAGGCACGCATCGACGAGCTGGAGGACCGGTCCGCGGCTCTGGAGCAGCAGCTCGAGGACGCGCGAGCGGCGGCCGAGGAGGCGGCGGCGGCGGCGCAGACGACGCTCGCCAAGTACAAGACCAAACTCGAGCGGTACCGGCGCGAGCGTGACCAGTATGCGGCCGCGCTCGAGCAGCAGATGCAGGACAACACCAACACGGCCAGCACGGCGGCGACCGAGGTGACGACCGAGGAGCGCCGCGACCTGCACGCGCTGCTTCGCAAGGCACAGCTGGAGGCTGCCGCCTTCGAGCGCGACGTGCGCGAGCAGAAGACGCTCGTCGACGAGCTTAGCAAGGCGCAGGAGTCGCTGCGCATGAAGCTTCAGCGCGTGCGCGGCGAGCGCGCCGCCTACCGCTCCGAGGCTGAGAAGATGCGGCGCGAGCTCGGCCAGCTCGAGGTCGGCAACGCCGAGCTGACAAAGGCCAGGGACGAGGCCGAGTCGGCCATCGTGGCCCACGCGCTCCTGCTGGCGGCCAGGGAGGCCGAGCTTGCGCGGCTAGCAGGCGGCCGTGTCCCCCGTGGCACCCCAGCCAGAGGCACCGCCGGTGGTCGAGGTTGAAGCTGAGGCGGTTGAAGTCGAGGCGGAGGCACAGCAGCCGCAGCAAGGGGAAGAACAGCAGTCCGAGGACAGTGGGGTCGACGTCAACGCCATCATGGAGAAGGCCGAGAGGCAGCGTGAGCGGCACAAGCGCGAGATCCGCGGTCTCGCTAAGCAAATCGAGTGGATGCAGGCCCGGTACGAGCGCGAGGTGCAGTTCCGGACCGACGCAGTGTTGGGCAAGCAGTACCTGCAGGCGAAGCTGGAAAAGGCCAAGGCATAGTAAGTTTGCGCTCACTCCTGTTTCCTAGCAACGCCTTACAAGGGGGAAACAAAAAGCTAACGTCCCACCTCCCTCCCCCCCTCGCAGCAACAAGCAAGACCTCCGGGTGCTCGAGAACATCCTCCAGTCCATCGGCCAGACCGAGATGCCGAGCCGGCGCATGAAGGAAAAGGCGCAGGCCGTGGCCGAGACACCTCGCCGCAAGCTCAAGCACGCGCTCCACGCGGTCCGGTTCATGGTGCGGGCCCGGCGCGCGGCCGAGGCGTGGCGGACGCACCTCGAGACGCGCAGGCAGCTCAAGGACGCTCTCGAGAAGGTGGAGCGCGCCCGACGCCTGCGCCACATGCGCGACGAGTGGCGCGCCGAGGTCCGCGCCCGCTTCGTCGCCAACGAGGCCGCAGCCGCCGCCGCCGCTGCTGCTGCCTCTGGCGAGGGCGGCGGCGACAACGACGACAGCGCCGCCGACGGCGCCGGGGGCGGGGGCGGGGGCGGGGGCGGCATCTGCGCCACCGGGTGGCCTGTGGCCGGCGATACGACGACGCTCAGCATCGACCTCGGGGCTTGAGCTACTTCTTTTTCACAACTTTTGATGCTGCTCGTCGTGCGCTTCTTTGTGTTTTATGGCTCTTTTTTTTCTCGATACCCTCCGCTGCGTCGCAAAGCCCGTGCTGCTTCCACGTCTTCCACCATCTATCCATCCAGCCCATCAACCCCCCCTGCGCTGTGGGCTGAACCCGACTTTCTGATACCTACCTCTTCTCAAGAGGCGTCGATGGGGCCTAATTGGTCTAACGCCCCGACACCTCTTGCCGTCTTTTTTTTATATCTTTTTTATTAATCGGTAATCACATCAACGGCCGAACTTTGTTGCTGCGGAGGGAAAAGGGGCGTTTTTTGTTCTGTTATTTTTGTGTGGACAAATGTTGGACAGAGCAATGCTCACGAGACCTGGATATACAACCCTGTTGGCATCACAGCTGTTGGCTTCTTCTTTTTTTTTATCCCCTCTCATCAGACATCGTCGAGGGGAAAGGTGTTTGGGAGCCGAGGCGGGTGTAGGAAGAACTCAAAATGGGACGGTCATGGCGTGGCGTTTTTGGCGTCTATTTCGGTCAGGGTAGTTTCTCGGTCTCTTGCATTGGGGCTGTTCTCAAGAATTCATGATATGTATATTGGTCGCTTTTATAGCCAAGCATTTCGACTGCCTCCTCAGTGCCTTGCGAGCCCCTGAATGCCACTTGTCAGAAACTCACTTGGCCATGCCTTCGTGACGGTCATAAGAAATGCCTGTTCAACGGAAAATGAAACAAATGGGGACATGTTATCCAATCAAAATCCAATCCAAATCCAGGATTCGGTCCCTTCTCTCGCGCGAGGCTGGGTATAGAAGCGTCGACATACACCAATCCCCAGAGACCGTCCGATGCATAACTCCAACTCGATCTGTCTCGTCGTCCTTCGCTCTCCAAGAGCAGGGTGAACCAACGAGTAGCGGGCAAAGCCGCCACTTGCAACAAAGAAAGAAAATAGCCCCTCGTGGTGCTGTCAGTCCGGGGAATGCTCTGTGCTCCGGGTTTTCGCTTTTCCAAGACCCATTATGGTATCGCTCATGCACACCTCGCAGCTGCCGTGCGTCGGCGGCCCATATTATTACACGCTATAAATGTCGCAGTCGTAGTCGGGTAATTACAGGATGAAGAGGAGGTTGGTGTCTGCATGCCAGAGTCAAGAGGCAATGGTTAGTCCAGTCATACCCTATTTCGTTTAGTGGTGTCCCCGACCGTCGCCGCCACAAGAAGGCTTCGCCCGCAAGGCACCACAGAATAGGAGCTTCTAAGGGAACAGGGGCCGCGGACGGTCTTACTCAGGGGGTGGCTACACGAGAGCTGTGGTTTCTGGGTGTAGCGCGTCGCCAACTCGTCGCGGATGTTGTTGAGTAGTTGTACATAGCTCTGTTGGGGGTTCTTCTTGAGCGCCGTGATGAAGGCCCACGACATTGCTCCCGTGTACTGCGATGCAATGTTTGCGTCGGCCCTGTTCGAAAGCAGGCGTGGTTAGCATCAGCCGTGTGCGTGTGGTCATGGTAAGGGGTGTGCCAGGAATAAAAACGAGAAAAAGAGACGGCAAAATAGTCCCCTCCACGCAACCCATCCAACGTGACCCGTCGCCCCAGACACAAAATCCCAGCCGCAAAACGGGCTGGATTTTGGTCTGGAGCGCTCAAAAAAAATAAGGGACGGGCACACGTGCAGCAGCCAGTACTGCCACCAAATGTGCCCGACCCCCGTCCCTGTATACATGACAAATCCCACCCCCTTTTTTCTGTTGCCTCGTAACACGTCTGTTGCCAGTCGACGTCTTCAAATCACGACCAACTCCATGCAATGCAAATGCGTGCCCAAAACACCAGGGCCCAGATCAGACAAAGGAAAGAAATATCTGCGCAACCGTTGCGCTACAAGAAAAGCAGAAAAGCAAAAGAGGTGAGGGGTACACCGTCTCAAACAGGGCAGGTAAGGGTGAAGTAGGGATAAGAGGGGAAATGCGGGTATACGAACGATGTCTGGTCGTCCTTGCTCCCCGAGATCATAATGACATCGGCAGGAGAAGTCTTTGTGGCCAAAGAGCGGTTGTGGGCATCCTCGCCGTTGGTGGCCTTCTTGAAGAATCCCACGATGTTGCTGGCAACACCATTCATATCACCACGGCCGTACGACGTCAGCACGCCCAACAGGCCCTGACCAGCCTCCCTGGCCAGGTTGGGCTCCTTGAGCATGCCTTGGGTCGAGTAGATGTAGGGTAGGTCAAGGGCGGTGCCCGAGTGGCACGAGTCGAATATGGCCGTGAGCCGCACGCCAGCCTGCAGCGGCATCACCATGATTCTGTGCATTTCATCGTCCGTGATGTGGCCGACCTGCCTAAAATCGACAGGGTATATGACCTCGTCGTATCCGTCGGGCTCGTCTCCGTCGAGGTCTTTCGTCTGGCCACCATGACCTGTAGAGGGGAGCTTGTCAGCGGCTGGGGGGGCCTCTTGCGGAGGGCGGGGCAGAACGCACCAGAGTAGTGGAAAAAGAGGGAATCGTTTGGCTTGGCGTCCTTGACGAGCCAGTGCATGGCGCGCAGGATGTTCTGCTTGGTGGGCTGGCTCATGGGATTCTGCTGGTCGTCGGTCAGGATGACCATGTCCTCGCGCTTGTAGCCGTAGTGCTCGACCAGATATGCCGACATGTTGCGGACATCATTGATACAGCCGCGCAGCTGGCCGCGCTGGCTAAAGTAGTTTATACCGATCAGCAGTGCTTTCCTCTTACCGGTGCACTGCGAGTACTGGTACTGATAGGATTGTGGCGCGTCGGGGAACGGCAGAGGCGCCGAGGGCGGGGGTACCGGGCCGCCGTTGTGGTTCATGCTGTAGGCGTTGGGGCCGGCGTTCGGCATGTCTAGGTTTCCTCGTAGTCTTAGCTCCGCTCGTCCTCGGGTTGGTGCTCTCAGGCGGAAGTCGAGTGAGGGACTTACCAGGCCTTCCATAATGCGACGGCTGCTGCGGCTGCTGCGGCTGTTGCGGCTGCTGCGGCTGTTGCTGCTGCTGGTTGTATCCATACTGCTGTGGCGACTGCAAATCAGGCACGACTCGATTAGCTTCCCTGTTTGGAGTTGATCCCCGCTTTGGCTGGCACGTTGCCGCCCCAGGAGCTGCCCTGCGCGTGTTCGGCCGGCGGAAGTCGTACCTGAGGGTAGCCGCTGTATGTCTGGGATGTGGGCTGTTGTTGCTGGTAGGCAAAGCTCGCGGAAGGCTGGCCGTGTGACGGGTAGCCGTTGTAGGATTGTTGTGTACTGCCGTTTGGAGAAAACAACGTTGGTCAGCCACTTCAGGGCCCAAGGTTTGCGGTGAAACGGGGTGCGTCATGGCAGTGCTCCCGCTGCCGCCACACACACACACACACACTGACGGCAGCGGGAACCGGCATCAGCACAGGCAAGTAGACAGGTCTACATACGGAAAGTGATAGTTCTGCGGTGAGTACTGGCCCGGAGGTGGGGCCGTATAGCCTCCGTGGTAGCCCTGACCCGAGTATGTAGACATGGCCGGGCGAGCCGACACGACGTCGAGAACTGTAAGTCGAGGACCGTGAGTCGATGAGGTGGGCGGGCTGTCGGGCTAGCTGGCGGTGTCGGGAAAGATCAAGATCGTCTCGCCGGGTAGGGAGGCAGGCAAGTCTCTGGAGCTGGAGCTCTCGAGGATGGAGACAGAAAGCTTGGGCACAGGCGGGAGAAGAGGCAATGGGGTTGAGGAGGCGCGAAGGTGGGGTAGGTAGGGCCCAACCCGAGTGATCGACAGAGGCTGGGGAGCTCCGGGGGCTTTATATGCAAGCAAGGCGACGGGCGGAAGCCACGCAGAGGAGGCCTGGATTGACGCTGCCGAATGTAATATTTGGTGTTTGGGGCGGGAAGGCGGTGGTGGCAGGGGCGTGTGTGTAGGCGTGTAGCTTATTTTGTTTTTCTTCTTTTCCTCTGGGACGACAAGCGATGGAGCACGGCGACGCGGGTTTGGAGTCTCGTCAAGTCCCAGTCTGGTGCCCCATGCCCGCTTTTTTGCTTTGCTGACAAGGTGCGTCGGCTGCTCCTCCATGGTGCTGGTGCCGCCCGCTGGGTCTGGCAGCGACGGCCAACCAAGGCCGACCAAATGGGGTCGCCTGCTCCACCTGCGGCCCACCCTCCTCGGCGATTGGGAATTGAGGACTGGGGATCAGACCGCGTGCGGCGCAGACGACGGGCCTTGGACGCTACCCACTCTCCCACCCAACCCAGCGACCCAGCAAGGCCCAGCCAAAAAGGGCTGATGCAACCAAGACAACAGAACCTCAACCGCTCTCAGCAGCCGGTGCCGCCGGCGACTGGGGCTTGGAATCGATGCCGTAACGGCAGGCCACAGATGACGGTGCTTGGGATCGAGGCGGTCAGGACAGCATCGCGAGGCGGAGGCTGGAGCTGGAGACCTCCCTCTCTCTCT